GTACCTCAAACATGGCCAAGCGGAAGATTGTTTCGCATGCTTTTCGGTGACTATCAAGGGCATGAGCGACTTCCTCGTCAAGTTCGGCGTATACATTTCATGGCTTCGTCTATACCAAAAGACGCCTGCATGGCACGGAGAATGTAGTTTGCTTTGCGATCTCCTCATCTCTTCCTGAATTTATTATGTCTGCAGCATGTTGGACCAACCCAGCCCATCAGAAAGGATTTTACATACAATTTACGACTAGTTCTCGTACAGACGCTAAACGCATGCTTTAAAGCATGATACCTTTTTTGCAGGTTAAAGCATGATACTTAGCATGTGGAACAATTAGAGAAAAATAAACATAACATATTTAATTTGAGGCCATAGTTCTAGGCTATCTTGGCTCATAGGATTTATCGTTGATGGCAGAACGCTGAGATCCTTTGCTTTACTTTATTCAGAACTTTTGTTTTGACTTTGTTTTTAGGATCAACTTTTGTTTTGATCCCTGTGGTCCATGGGCGCCTCAACTATGATAGTCCTCCACAAACTCCAAATTTGAGCAGCGATTCCTTGATATTCTATGTCGTGTACTATGGGTGATTCTTCTCTTCCATGCCTTCGACTTTCCGACTACCTAACACGGGACAGCAAGGGAGATATATTACCATTGTCGATCAGTTCGCTCACGACCAGAGGCGGAGGGGGAGCATGCCCCCCAGCCATAGAATAATTAGCATATTTTTCTTATAAGGCTTAATGTAATAAAAAAATACAGTCATTTGCCCCTCAAACATGTATTTTGTGGTTTGCCTTCCCTCCCCGGCCACTGCCCACCACCATAAATGTAAGCCTAGAACATGGACCAGTGTAGAGGAGAACAAGACACCAAAGCAATAGTTTGATGGAACACATGGTGGTCTCGGACTCATTTTTGCATGGGAGAACAAGTCGAAATCACAAAAAAAAGCTTGGGAGGGAGTTATAAGTCGAGCCATGGCAATGGGGGTAGGGGTGGGCATAAAAACCGACGAACCGAAAACCGAACCGATGTCGAAACCGAATAAACCGAATTTTTTTCCCTACCATTACAGAAAAATTCGGTTTTTAGGTTTACTAACCGAACTGAATTCGGTTGGTTCGGTTTTTATCTCGGTTAACCGAAACAACCGAACAACACGAGTCAGCGTAAAGAACAACGCAAAAGTAGGCACAGCGAACGTCTCCCAGAAATCACGCCGCGATCGTTCTTTGTTTTCTTTTTTTAGCTATATATGCCCACGATCGTTTTTTTTTGAGGAATCTCGCTAACTTTATTGATTCATGACAATGTTCATAGGTACACGGTTTGGGTCATGAGGAGTGCCCAACCAAACATGTGTACCTATATCTAGGTTACAAGC